AAAACCCTTTTGACATTGATCCTGTCACTTTCATGTTGCCTTGTAAAACGAGAGGCAAAATATTTGTTTTGAAATTAGCGTGTAACTTGAGTTTCCCCTGTGCATTGTGAGTATACTGAGAACAGTCTAAACTTTGAGGATTTCATTCGCAGCAACCGGCGATGGCAGCAACAGAGCCCCATTGCTGTGATCTTACAAATATCTAGTTCTGAGAAGTGGCAGAGAGTCTCTGGCCTCCTAGATATGAATTATTTATGTCAAGGTTTACAGTGAACTTTACATAAACACAGATCGGATTGTTACTGCCTTAAAATTGAAAGTCTGTGACCTCTTGAAATATAAGTTGTTTTACAATTTTAGAATATGGTAGCATTATCAAGATTTCATTATGCGCGTTCTTGGTTTTCAACAAGTCTTATGACTTCTGTGCATTTTAATGAAAACAGAATTTGTAACAACAAAAAGTGCTTTCATGTGATGACCATTATGACATGTGTTCCTGGGTACATGTTGGGAAATTTGTGCTTCTAAATAATATGTAATACACAACAAACCTTATTTGCTATTATGATGCAAATGAGCAATGAAAAACGTGACGTGACTGGTAATTTTCTGCATCTCACTTCAGTTGCTTATATATCTTTCTACCATATTGTTTTGAAATTACGATTTTACTGACAGAAACTCTTAAGCTGCCCATACACTGTAATATTTTCTTCGTTCTACCTGCGGGCTGAAAGTAGAAAATATAACAGATTCCTCCATCAATGCTTACGAGCATTGATGGAGGAATCTTCTGCTGCCGGACACTGTCAAAATACCCAAACAGCCGGCAGCCAATGAGCTGTTCATTTTCCAACCAGCTCCTTCGATCAGCTGATCGCGGGATGCCGGCCGAAAGGGTGTTGCAAATAGCATCCATTGTGTGAATTTTAGCCGGTTCATAAAAAAGAAATATTAATAGTGTATGGCCAGCTTTATGCCCCTTTCACAGGGACATTCCGATCAGGTCCTCCTGCTAATTTTTTTTTTTTTTAGGCGGACCTGATTGTAAGCCCGGTGTTAGTCTATGGGCAGCCAGATCTAAACAGACATGCATCCATTTACATCTGGTTACCCCCGGCTCTGGCCAAGTCTAGATAAAAAAACGGATCAGAGTTCAGTTTCGATGGACCTGACTTTGCCGGATTGGAGGTATTCTGATGTAAACAGACACATGTCCATTTACATTCAATTCCCCGTAGACTTACATGAGTCTGGTAACAATTTTTTTCCTCCATAGTAAGGTGGACCGCAGGTCACTGCACATTGTACTGCGCTGCAGGGTCCTGAGTGGAGTGCACACATTGTATGCTCAGCAAACTTAAAAGTGACAGTTCTAGTAGTAGGCAATACAAGACACACTAACATACAGCGCTGGGACCCACAGGAAGACATAAGAACAGTAGAAAGGCATCATGGCACACTCTCAAACCAGCATGTAAAACAACTTGTCTCACCACTAAGGACAATGACAGAGGTTTGGATACACGTCTTCTGCAAAGGATGTGTAAGCCGCACTGCCGCGCCAAGGCGCCTCTTGTTTTGCTTTACCACAGGAAGACATGCCCCATAGACTTCTGTCGGGCTCTGCTGAGCAGATGCAGCCAACAGAAATTTTGCACAGGATGTAAAACGCGGGAGGCCCCAGGTGCCAGATCTCAGTAAGTATGTAATTGTGGAGCAGGAGGGAGGGCTCTATGAGGTCAGGGAAGGGGAGCAGATGCAATAAGTGCCCAGGCTCTGAAAGTGAAGTTCTTCCAGTCTCTCCTGATCATTTGTAACATTTTTGTTGCCTGTCTCTGGACTCGCTCTGCCTTATCAATATCACATCTGACCTGATTTGCCCTAACAGCGTTTGTGCTTTAGGAATGTGCAGTCTACGTCAGAACATTGGCACAGCATAGCACATGTTCCTTTTGTTTTGACAGAAAGTTAAGAGACGCAAACCTCGCAGCATCTATATTCCTGCCGTTCCCACAGAGGACACTCCTCATTGTAGGACAGTGTAGAGAACTGGCAGAAAGTGATCAGCACCGACCAGCCACATCGATATTTAAAAAAAAACCTCAATCACACTTACTGGCAGCATAACAAGTCCTGTCAGTGACACAATGATCCTCGGGAGGGTAATTCTGGCAGTAGGTTACAGTCTGTTATATTCAGCACATGTTTTATTACTTATAGTGAGCATATTCAGAATTAACCGACTACATGCAACAGTGAATGGAGCTAAATCACACTTGATAGTTTGTCCAGTGCCAATTCCTTCTAAATGGCTAGAGACTCTTCTTATGACACATCATTTTAAGGCTCACAGATTTTGATGAATCTGTGTTTCAGCACCAATAATTGTGTTTTTATTGTAAAAAAAAAAAAAAAGTCTCCCAAGTTTTATCACAACATTCTCTTATTGCCATGATAGTATATACTGCCATGATTTTATATTATATTATTGCTGCACTACTATCAGTTTTAGGTTGGATTTAGGCCTTGTGTTCAGGGTAAGAGTTAGCTTTATTTTTTTATGTGGATATAAATCCTAATTGGATTACATTTTAGTTTTGCGTGGTGTTTATATAATAAGCCATTGCCTTTTTATTTCATGAAATACAATGTTTAAAATGACATGGTAAAACTTATTAGAATTAGTGGTTGGGTTTTTTTGTTTTGTTTCAAATACGTTTTATTTGTTTCTGCGTCCTGTTTAGTTGTAAGCAGCTCTTCCGTTTCATACACATGCTCGACTTGTGTTAGCCATTCCTTTACCGTGGGCATATGTTCTTGCCTCCAGTAACGAGGAATGATTGTACTTGCGGCATTAATGAGATGTCTAGGGAGCGAGTGGTTGGGTTTTTATCTTCTTTAAGTTGCGGTTTAGTGGTTCTGATGAGAGTAATCGTTAATAAATGACATTAAAAACACCAATAAATGCAGTAATGTATTCTTAAAAAAAGATTCAGTGCATGTTTAAATGCAACATGGAAGAGTATCTAAATTTTTCTTGATGGCAGTCAAATTTTTCTTGATGCACTCAAACTGGGAGCCAGTCAGGCTTTGCTATGGTGCACATGTGCACTATAGGGGGAGGGGGAAGCGGAGGAATGACTCATCACTCTTCTGCTAATCTTTAATTGACAAGTCAGCAAGCTGGGCTTGCACTTATCCAAGCCCTGCTTCTGCTACATTGAAGGTTGAGGACTTGGATGTGTTTTGATAGGGATGCTTAGACAGTAGAATTACCCAGTATTTCATGGATAAGACCATTCCCAGATATGTGTTACTGTTTATTTTGCCAATTGCCTGTAGTTTTTATTCAGGTGTGATAAGTATTTACCACATGTGCTATAGGTTTTCTGTGCCAACATTTCCGTGCCAGCAATGACCAAGCCTAAAACTGACATACTGTTTTTTTTTTTTTTTTTTTACATTATAACATTTTTCCCTGCAAACTAAAGGTGTATTTCACATTGAAGATCCTGTCACTATGGCAACTCTCCAGTGACAGGATCCACTTACCTGTTTCTATGAGCCCACTTGTTTGGTCAGTAAGGATGCAACGTCGTAGAAAAAGGATATAGGTATCATGGCATTGGCTAGTTGGGTCTAGCAACACAATCACTAGTGTGTCATAGGCCTAACCGTAAGTCCTCATTCACACCTGAGCGACATCAAATATGCATGTTTTGTGTAGTATGTTTTTGCTCCTTTTGTGCACATTTGTATTTAATGTGCAAAAACATAGCAAACATACATTTGTAAGCCTTTCCATTGAAGTCTATGGGGCCAAGAAGTGCAGATAAAAGCTTGTGTACTTTTTTCCAGCGACAGGTGTTTTGCTAAAAGTGACAAAACGCTCAGATGTGAACATGGCCATAGAAATCAATGGCAATTTTTTTGGGGTCAGAAAAGCGCTACAAAATGTTTCGTGTGAATGAGGGCTAAACCTCATGTCTGTCAACCTAATCTCCTTCTTCTTTTTTAAGTGTGTGTGTGTGTGTATCACAGATGTCCATTGCTAATCTACTGCTGGTAGTTCTGAGAAAGATATAAAATGTGAGAGGTATATGTGCTGAGTGTACAGGAGTGAATGGTAGGGTGTGCTGAGTGTATTTGGGTAAATGGTGGGTTCCCTCTCTGTACACTGTGCTGTACTTGACATACTACAGACTTCCCCATTCTGTACACTGTTCAGTACATCCCTTACTTTACACTGCTCCACTCTGAAAGCTCTTCTGTATATACTTCACTCATATTAATAGACATTATTTGAACCACTGGAATTTCCAAATGCTTTTCTGTTCAGTGAATGCGCTCACTTTTGAAATACAATTGCACTATTACAGGGTGATTATGGTTATGCCCTGTACTGTTGCCTATAATAGTAAAGAACAGTGCTCCCAGTTTGCATGCAGTGTGCGGGCTAGGTAACCTGCACTATAGTCAGAATGAACCCTAAAAGATGGTCTGGTTACTATGGGCAACAGGCAGTGCTACCTGAGATGTCTTGGGTCTGACTGATAAAGCTGCATTTGCACTTACTGTATTTCATGGTGGCCACTTGAGCAATTTGATCCATGTGACTTGAGAAGCCACTGTAGCACAAAATGAAGTAATATTGCAGCTTGATGCATCAGGACCCTTATTCCTTAAAAGTGACAATGTCTTACCAGATAGACTATATTTCACAATATTTTCAGTTGTATCTTAAGTGTAGGATGTACATATATTAAATGTTTATATATATACATATGTACATATCCATATTCCATCAGTGATGTTTTATTTATTTTATCAATGCTTTTCTTTTTAGGAAAGTGCATTATGAATATATCTAAATGTTCTATTGCAGTGTTCCATTTCCTAATGTCTACATAGGGATGCCGGAGCTTGTAATGTATCCTTTGTTGTGTTTCTGTCCATTAGCATGCTCATATTCCTTCCTTTTGTGCTTTTCTCAGTATGCCAGCGTTGAAAAAGATGGGGAAAATTACATGACACCACCTGACTTTGTGCAGAGATACCTCAGACTGCACACAGATGCTCACCACAATCCCAAGACTGTGGATCTACTAGGAGGGGTCGCTGACCAGACCAAAGATGGGTGAGACTAATTCTACTACTTACATTTAAAGTACAACTAAAAGCTTCTGTATGACAGCCGAACAAAATACTTATTGCAGCTACTATTTGATGCACATTCCTTATAAAGTAAGCAAAAAACTTACTTTACCTCCTCTGACTGAGACAAATCCTCCTTCATTTGTGTCTCACCCCGCCCCTCCTCCCAGACACTGCAGCTCATAGTGGGAGGGTTTCAGCAACAGATGCAGTCCTGCCAAAATAGAAAGAAGTGGGCAGGACTAGGGCTGGGCAGGTACTGAATGACAAGCTGCAGGCATGGTAGTGACGATGCTGATAGCCACGCCCCCTGCATCATTTGTTCATCCCCTATAGTGCAGGCAGGCACAGCCTACATGAGAGTGACAATTCTGTTCTAAATTCAGGAGTAGTGCAGCATTGTTGCCATTATTTCACAGGAAGCTGAATTAAGTAGACTTCACTGGCAGGCTCAACAGGTATTTGTGGAACTTTGCATAGGGACTAAGGGAGAACTGTAAGTACAGATACGCTTATTAAGTGCTGTGTTAAGTGCACATGTGTGGCCGTAGTGTAAGTTTTTCCAAATTTTATTATTTTACTTCATTATAAAATAATGGGTAGATGTTGATATTTTGATTGACCCAAATGGGTTCTTTTCTTGGGTACTCCAGCAAGAAATAGCCCTGACCTGCCAGCTCCGGTGCTCTTTGGATAAATAGCGATGCCCACTCAGCCCAAAACCATCAATTAATGAAATTCTCTAAACAATATGAGCTGCCGTTCTAATAATATAGATGTATAAAGATAAATGCACCGTTCTACATACATAACATCAAATAATAATAAATATAACAAACTAAACCAAAATTGCTGGAAATCCACTAATCGGTGTACCAAAATCTCTAATAATAAATACAGGATATACAAAGATGTAAAAATAATAGTGTCCGTGTCTATATAAAGTTCATCACAAAAAAGTGTCCATTTCTCAAAGCAAATAAGTTACAGTGTCATAATCATCAGCAGTATTCGTGGATATTTTATGTTATGTATGTAGAGCAGTGCATTAATCTTTATACAGCTCAGGTTCTCTGCCATGGCTTTTTTTAGGAAGATCTTGCTCTCCTTGCTGTTGTTTTGTGTTTGTTTTTTTCACTTGCATGTAAATAAAGAATAAACTTAGCATTTTGTAGATCCTGTAGTCGTTCATGCTTACACTTTTGTAAATATGTAAATAAAATATTTGTACAGAAGCACAAATTGTTACGCTAAGTATCTCCTCTGTTGACTGAAGAGAATACAACATATCCGAGACTACCTAATTTGTTTTCAGGGAAATCTCCTTTTACTCATTTGTACCATGTTAAGCATGATTTCAAATTTTTGAAGCTGAACACCATTAAACTTCAGTTACATCAAAATGGTAGATGGTAGATCTTACTCTTTAGTTTGTTTCAAAAGCTACCCCAGCTGAAAAGTCCATGCCTATTTAGAGCAGGGGTGAGCAAACGTCGGCCTTCCAGCTTCAGTAAAAGTACAAATCCTATCATGTATCTGCCTCTGGAAGTCATGACTGTGGATAGGGATGCACCAATACCAGCTTTTCGGTATCGAGCACAAGTACCAATATTTATCTTTCGGTACTCGCCGATACAGAGTACTGATACTGGTACTTCCACTAGCATGGTGCCGGCATCCGGGGCAATCAGGAAGCCGGGCCTCATGTCATTTCCCACCGCACGGCTTCTTGATTGCACGGGAAGTCGGCTCCATGCTGTTTGGCCAGGAAGCCGGCTTCCCAGCCAATCAACATGGGGTCGGCTGTTTGGCTGGCTCGATGCTCATTGGCCGGGAAGCCGGCTTCCCAGCTAATCAGCATGGAGCCGACTTCCTGGCCAATCAGGAAGCCGGGAAGCGGGTCATTACCCGGCTTCCTGATTGGCAGGGAAGCCAGCTCCATGCTGTTTGGCCAGCTCAATGCTACTTGGCCAATCAGGAAGCCGGGCGGCAAGTCATTACCCCCCTGCCCGTCTTCCTGATTGGCCGGAAAGCCAACTCCATGTTCCCTCAGTGCACTGCCGGTCAAAGGAAATCTTGGAATATATATGAAGCCACAAAGAGGAAATGTGATTGGCATAGAAAAGGCCCCTTTATCGCTCTGATGATCATCTGAAAGTCTTAGAAACAACCTTAGTTAGGAAGACAATGGGTTGGCTGCAGAGTATTGGGTCTGTTTACATGGATAACTACACCAGAAATTAATGACATTAAATGCAGATGCCACCTCTCTCCAGTTAGAAATAGGGCCTTGTAAAATAAAAAACAATGGTGGCCGTAAAGGAGGACCCAAAATGTTTATTTGAACAGGGGCCCCTTGTTATCAATGCACAAAAGTACTTCTATGGATGCAAAAATATGAATACAGTATGTAGCAGCCCAACTATTCATGCTGGAGTAATTTTTATTCCGCTGCTGAGTGTTATCTCACATGTAGCCCTATCACATGCTTATAATATGACAAATGTATATTTTTCAAGTTTTTTCTTACTGCCTGTAAATCTTTGGGATTGACATAACTTGAAACAGTTAAAATTTTGGAAACCACCTCAGAAATCATTTAGGGTTTTTCATTACAATCCAATTCCATTAGATCGACTTACTACCAAAATGTAAAACGGAAATGGCAAGACTGTGTTACCTGAGCAGTACATTTGCCTCTCTGCTTCCCATGCTGGGAACGCCATCTGTTTAAATCTCCATCAACACATGTGGGCTCTGACATAAGATAACATGATACAATATGCATTAAGTAAAAGGCGAGCAAGTGCACAGATTGGCGGCTAGATAACAGTACAGAAAATGTTTACAGAATGTACCACTTTGTTAACTTGAGCCCTCCACTGCTTCTCCTTCTCTTACCTCTCTGACAAAGTGTATTTATTTTGTTATCCGCAGGTTGATCTCCTTCCAGGAGTTCCAGGCATTCGAGTCAGTGTTGTGTGCCCCAGATGCTATGTTCATTGTGGCTTACCAGTTATTTGATAAGGGCGGCTTAGGGGAGGTCACTTTCGGTAAGTGTTTGGAAAATGGCATGCGAGGCGACCGGGGAGAGTAGATTTCAGGTAGCAGTTAATGTATCCGTAAAAAGGCACTTCTGCACAAATAATAAAAATAAGAATAGTTTGTAGGACTGGGTCACTTTTCAGTTTCTGCTTTCATGATTTAAAGCTCAATTGTTGCATAAGCTTATACAGGTTAGGCACAGTCAGGGAGGATAAAACTTGCCTTGGCTAATAGTCTTTTATTTTTACTTTAATAATGTTTTTGCACTACCCCCAAACTCTCCTTTCCTAGCAGCACACTGAAGATGGTAAACTGCATGAGCTCTGGGTAGCAAAACAAGAATGTAAGTGAAATTAAATATAAAGGGATATGTTTTTAAAGTATTTTGTGACATTCATCCCAGGCGTATCTTCCTGATGCATGTGATTGCAATGATTGATTCACTTTTCAGGGAATGTTTGGTAAGAACGAGAAGAGCAAACAAGGGAGCGCATACCGAGTGCATTAAAAGACACATTTAATAATGTATGAAAAGAGTAATAAACTCACAAAGGTAAACATTAAATCTGCGCTTCCAGGGCCAAAAGGTTCAGAAACTCAAGCCTACAAGCCATGGCCAGTGGTGGGGCTGTAAGTCATATTACCTGGCGGTCTGGGTACTTCCTTCTTCCACTCGGTGGTAGGGAATAAGCGGAATCTGTAGTCATTTAGACGTACCTCGGGAGAATGTCTAGGTGGCAACCATAGCAAAGGAAACTTTTGCTACTGCTAGTTCAGCAACGCTAAGCAGGTCTTTTCAGAGGAAGTACAAAGGCAGCTGGGTGATGACTCTTCTTCTAGCCACGACTTGCGCTCTTAAAAAGTAACCTCACCCTCTTACCTGGTTTGCTGGGTTATCCCCAATAGGCACACCCAGAAAATCCAGCATTGTCCTGCAGCGATCTGCTGCTGCACCCCTGGTCCCTTATCACTATCTTGGTTTCTTCCGTCATTGGAAGCAAGTTGTCTCATTCTGGTTCAGACAGCCAGCTCTCTGATGTGCGCCAGGTCAGCTCCATGTCTGTCCTTCAAACTTCCTAGCGATGTGTATTGCCTCAGCTGAAGCCTCCTGGTATATGTGGCATGCACATCCCAGGAGACTCCAGGAACAAGGACATGTCATTCTTGCATAGGCGAGAATGCAGACAGAAGGCAGGCCGTAATTGATTATTCAAAAAAAAGTCGGGGGTTGGGGGGATAGAATGGGGCAAAGTAGTTTATATAGGCGGCGGTTCACCTAAAGCTGCTGAACTTCTTGGTCCTGGATGCACTGCTTCAACGTTTACTTTATTGAGTTTATTACTGTTTTTTACATTATTATTTGTGCATTTTGAAGCACTAGGTCTGCGCACGATTGTTTGCTCTCCTTGTCGTTACAGTTGCGGGGCACCATTTACCACTAGGAGCTGAAGGGAAGTGCTTTCCACAGTTCCTTCACCATGCTCGAGAATACTGCAGATTTTTGTGTAGACTATCCTTTCCCACATTCACAATACTGTTCGCTTCTCCATCTTTTCTCTTTAGTCATTGTTTGGTGACTCACATTCACTGCTTTATAAATAAGCTCATACATATCTGTTCAGCACCTATCAACCTGTCTGGTTCTTTCTTTCATTGACTAATCATCTTTAAAAATGTAGAAAAATATATGTAGAAAAGTTAAAAAAAAATGTTTTCCAGTCTTGAATGTTTACAACTCATGTCATGTCTTTTTTCCTGCCTGTGTCCCCTGTTTGGGGGATTTTCACTTCCATCCTGCCCAGTGCTGTCATCGGGATACAAAGTCCAGGAAAAAATCTAAATACACAAATTATTGCATATAGGGGCTGTTTTTTTAACTGCCAGAGGGTTTGTATTTTTGCCCACCCTGTCCTTAGAATTATACAACTCTGCCACACAGCACATCCCTGTTTGGTAGGAAAGGAGACCTGATTTTTCTTTGCTGCAGTTAAGCAACACCTACAGGTCTTGTCCCTCCCCCATCCTGTGACTGGACAGTGAAAGGAGAAGCAGCAGACTAATGAGCTTGTCTCTCTCACTCTGGTTCTCTTTCTCTACGCATGCACTTTGTTAGCACATGAGCAGTGCAGTACAACTGATTGGCTCATTGTGCTGCTTCTACCTCCCCAGTCTGAGCTCCTGCTGTATAGGGGATCCAAGAGACTGATACAAATTCAGGTACTTACACAGACTACAATTATATACATAAAATGATGTTTCAATGAACAAAGAGCTACATTCAATTTCTATTTGCCTGGAGGTTGGCTTTAAAGAAAACCTCTTGTTGCAGTGGACAACAGACAATGGGGTATAATTATAAAGCATAGAATCTGACATTCACTGCAAGTGAATCTTCCTGGCATGTGCTTTACATGACGACAGTGATTTATTGTGAACGGAGACGTGCGACCGTTTCTACTGTACGGTCGCATGTCTTCTGTCGAACCAGCATGTTCGAAAACCAGCCGGGAATCGTACGATTCTCGGCTGGTTAGAACGGTGCTCAGAAGATAAATGCTGAACGGGCCGGTGTGCGCACGCGCACACTGCCCGTTCAGCATTGCGGTCATCGGAAGCCCGCCCCTCAGGGGGGTGGGCTTGCGATGATCGAGAGTGCGATCTGCCTGTCCAAGATAGGCAGATCGTACGTTTTTTTAATCCCTTTACAACCATCGCAAGACTAAAGTCTTGCGATGGTTGTAGAGTGTATGGCCACCTTAACACTTGTTTGTGAAAAGTTATTTTTTAGGCGGTAATGATGAATTTGATAACATTTCTTGCTACTTTCTTACGTTTAACTTTTTTTGGTTAAGATATTCTGAATCGTGCGTCTGGGCTCAAATGCTGCAACTGTTATCACATCACCTATGATAGTGAATGTGACCTTCACTGAGAGTGGTAGGCAATATTAAAGGGCTATCACACTGATATCATTCTGTTGTAATCGACAAGGTTAATTGTGTTACTAATTGACAACTAATTGTGTACAGGAGAGACGTCTTCTTTCCAATGGGATCATATACGTTAATGTATGTAATACAGAATCTGTTATTTATGGGAAGTTATTTTATTTGTTACAATAATCACTTTTTT